CACCCACCCACCACACATATTTCAGATGGTTAAAATAGTTGATCATAAGGTTCCAGTCAAGATGGTGGAATAGACTGTCTCCAGCATCACTCTCTCCCACAAGTCAACCAATATAGAACTATAAAAATGTAACAGCAGCCAAGCTGGGCCTGCTGGAGCTCAGGGGAAGAGGAGGAGAAACCTATGGAGTTCATGAAGGTGGGAGAAAACACGAGGAAAGAAAGAAAAAACTGCTCGGACCGTTTTGTGCGGCAGCTGTATTAAGGCTGGAGCTGCTAAGTACATGGAGCAGGAGCCAGCAGAAGCCACAGCTATGCCCTTCAGATGGAGTTACTTGGAGGTGGCAGGGGAAAAGAGGGCCTCGGTGGCCCCCAGGACAGCAAGACCACTAATAGGGCTCCCACGGGCCCACGGAAGAGTGAGGAGCCAGAACAGCTGTAAAAGGGGAGCCATTCAGAGGCTGGTGAGTCATTGCAAGGGACCAGCACACAGCCCATCCCATGGGAAATGTTTGGAGCACGGGCAGTGGGTAAGACGGGCCCACTGGGGGAACACTGGGGCATGGCAAGGGAAGCTGATCTGCCTCCCAGTCAGTGCAGAACCACTCAGAGGAGACTGGTTGGGAATGCAGAATTGCATGAGGTGAAGTTTGATGAAAAAACTCAAACCCAGTTCTACACAATCCATGTGCACTGGGCCTCTGGAGAGCCGAAAGTACCTATACGGTCAACCATTAAACCCTGAGCTGTACAAAAAGCCTTTCCTAGGGGAAACAGCAGCAAAGCAGCAATTTAGCTCAACCACACAGCTCAAGTACTGGTTCCCACAGGAATCTCCCGCATTTTAGAAGTAAGCAAAGGACAAAAAATTAGTTCCAGCTCAGGCACACCACCAGTGCCTTGGGGCCTGCTACCAGTGCCTCTGGGCCCACCAGGGAACCTAATCCATGGAGCTAGGGACTGGATCCCCTGCACAACCAGGCACACCACCAGTGCCAAGGAGCATGCCAAAACATCACCTCCATGTGGGTGGCCCACCACAGACACCACATTAATCGTGGCTGTTGTGAAAGTGCCTAGATATCACAACCACTGCGCAGATGGTCTGCCAGCCACTGATGTGCATTGACACAAGGACAGTCACCAGCAGAGACCAAAGAAAAGAAGAGGTTGTCTCTCTCCACAAAGCCCATTCCAGAGTGATAGAAGCAGCAGCTGCTCTATGATAATATTGGGGGACCTGGTCACACCTGTCAGCATTGGACAGACCATCTAGGCAACAAATGAACAGGGTAACCACTAGTCCAGAGGGAGAGAAGAAATCTAGGGTTATCAGTGGTGGGAGGGGGGAGTGAGAGGGGGATAAGGAGAGATTGGACAAGGGGCATAAAGAATAAGTACAATTTGTAACAATATACGTACTGGTAATATTGGTTTGATCAACATATTTCAATATTGAATCCCCAAAATATGTATAATCAATTATGAATCAATAAAAAAATAGTTGGTCATAAATTTAAACACAAGAGATTTTAAACCTTGAATTTTCTAGAAGTTTGATTTTTATTAGCATTACATTTTCTTTACCTTCTCTGATAATTTCTCATTGTATTTGTTCAAGATTTTGATAAAGAAAATGGAAACAAAACAACAAACTGAACAATTCAAACTAAACCTCAGATGACCTGGGGCCCTCACTGAACAGAAAACAGTCTCAGTGGGGAGTCATAAGATTTACTTCCTGGTGACAAGCACTACCCTAGGCTAGTCATTTTATCTTTCCTACCCTCAGTTTTCTGCATCTTTAAAATTATAGGCTTATATAAACTCTTTCATCCAGTCCAATTCTAACATGCTAGGTGTATTTTCTCATTGGAATCTCTGTGGGAAAATTTTTTAATGATCTAAATTTAAATCCATGATGTGATCATCTCTACTATTGATCAAATAAAAGAAGGCCCTTACTTTAGTTACTGCAAAGCTTTTTTCTCGCAAGTGCACCTGAACTGGGGATGTGATGGTTGGGGAGTGTCCTCCTCACTTTGCCTTACTCTGTCTCATTTCTGTAACTTGTAGTCATTTAACTTGACGGTTTTTGTCTTATAGTAAATAAGTCTGAATCAGAACTAGTGAATTTAAAAAGGAAATGTTTATACTGAATTCTCCCCACATCTTACTTGTGTAGAAAAACTGTCTTCTGGGCCAGCCCCGTGGCGCACTCAGGAGACTGCGGCGCTGGGAGCGCAGCGATGCTCCTGTCGCGGGTTCGGATCCTGTATAGGACTGGCTGGTGCGCTCACTGGCTGAGCCCGGTGCGGGCGACACCACGCCAAGGGTTGCGATCCCCTTACCGGTCACGAAAAAGACAAAAAAATAAATAAATAAAAAGAAAAACTGTCTTCTTCAGCCACTCCTATTTCTTGTGCAGTCTTTTACATAAAAGCAGATGCATATGACACTGGGACTGTGCCTTCTGCCCTCGGCAGTGGTCCTCACTGCGTCTTGTGCGTTGTTCCTCAGGCCCTGATTTCTGATCGATGATTTATAAAATTTTAGGTTTTCTGATAATTGGTGCATGGATGCCTTTGTTAGCACTTCCTGGTGCTTTAAAGAAAATGAATGAAGGATAGGGGAGGAGTAAATAAGAGGAGAAAGATTTTGAGACCTGATGTAGGGGTGTCTTACCCTAATGCTGATCCTTATTCAATGCTGCGATGCATTTTGTGAGGATAAAGATACCATTTTATCCCTCCCCTTTCTTTTCAGTATTAAACAAAGGAGTGTGCAGGATGCTGTGCTCCTGTGACTACACCACCTGACAGAACATGGCAGGCTGTGACTGCATTGCACCAGAGTGTCTTCTAGAATTATAGAGATATTTCATTCTGACAAATTTTCCATTGTTCTTCATTAAGCCTAACTTCCTTAAAAATTTGAAAATGTGTATACTTATGCCACACCCCAAACATATAATTAACATTTTTGATATGTATTTGAGATAAGATAAAAAAAATAGGAAAATATTGTTCTATAAGATTAAGCCTGGGCCGGCCCGGTGGTGCACTGGAGAGTGCGCCGCTTGGGAGCGCAGCGGTGCTCCCGCCGAGGGTTCGGATCCCATGTGGAGACCGGTTCCCGCTCACTGGCTGAGCGCGGTGCGGGCGCAACACCGAGGGTTGCGATCCCATTACCGGTCAGTAAAAAAGACAAAAAAGGAATAAAAAAAAAAAGATTAAGCCTGCATTCATTGTATTTTTCAGCCGTGTCCTGTGGAGTCCCAGAATCACCTGGCAATGGCTCATTTACGGGCAATGAGTTTACGCTGGACAGTAAAGTGACATATGAGTGTAATGAAGGCTTTAAGCTTGGAGCAAATCAACAAGCCACAGCAGTGTGCCAAGAAGACGGGTTGTGGAGTAACCAAGGGAAGCCACCCATCTGTAAACGTAAGTGCCCTCATGTGTTTGCCCGTGTGTGTAGATTTAGCTCAGAAAAGAAGTCACCAGGACAGCTCCAGCCACGTGTGCAGAGGTGCCCGCCGCACCGTGGGAGCCCTTGCCCCTTCATGGGCGTGCCATTAGATCCAACATATTTCATATGAAATACTGCAACCATTTAAAATGAGCTATGCACACTTGCACGTGATTCAGACAAATCCTGTTGGTTTCATCAGGATGGTGTAGAGCTAGGGCTGGTTCTCTGGTGCTCAGACACCCCTCGAGCCCATTCACAAACCCTTTACATGCAGGTCTATGAGCTAGGTAACTGGACAAAATGGCCCTTGGAGCCTTGGTTGAAGAAGGAATAGCCTTTATTCAGCACACACACATCTAGGAGCTAGGCAGTACCAAGGAGAAATTCAGAAACTCAACTACTACCAGCAAAGTCCAAAGAAAAACTGAGCAGCTGCCAGCAGAGTAAACATGCTCTATTTTTAGACTCGAGCTCTGCAGCCAGCTCTGCTTCACAAACTCTGAAGAACACAAAATAGCAATAACTAAAAAGATACATGCGTGCACATGCACACTAACTCCACCCACACACAACTTGTTTACAAGAAATGTCCAGGGAGCCTGACTAAATTATTCTATTTTCCCCACAGATGGACATTATGTAATTTATACAGCAAACCGTGTCCCGTGCTGCCATTTTCAATTTGGAGAGGTTTAATCTAGAACATATTGAGACATTAAGCCCAGCAGTATCACTCTACGCAAGATACTAAAACATAATTCAACAGGAGTTTTCCTCGTCATCTGCCATCTAATTTTACCTTCTTTGAAGTCAAAAGCAGTGCTTAGTTTAATCACCTACTATGCATAACACACTGAAGCTGAGTAGATAAAGCATTAATTTGATTTGTGAAGTGAGGTAAATCTTTTAGGAAGCTGTTTACAGTAAATAAGAGTACTCTTGAAAGGGTCATAAGTTTGGGTCCAGTTTGAAACTCTAGTTTATAATGCACAACCAAACAGAACAAAGGTTCACAGACAAACACACACACACACACACACACCGAAGGTTTTCATCACAGGTATACAAAATCCAGCCTCAGACTTGAAATAATCTTACCTCCTAGTTTGTAAACATTAAAACATATATAATATTTCTATATATGAAATAATATTTTTGCTCTAATTATATTAGCAGAAGGGAACCACATGGTCTTCAATTATAAAATTATTCCTCTTTTTCTGTATAGTATTTTGGTCATGTTAAAAAATTTTACATGTATTAAAAATGCATGTTATATTGACTCCCTCCATAGTTTTTATTTTCCTTGCTATCATTTTAAACATTTTTATTGCACTTCCTGAGAGTGAGTTAGGCAATACTGAAACAACATTAATATTTCTTGGTTATTTTCGGTTAAATCAGGTACTGTTTCATTGCAATTAAAAAAATACTATGGGAAGGTAAGATAACAAGATACCTTGTTATGCTTTTTCAGTTTAATTCTAAGCAAAATTATTCTCTCCAAATACGAACTTAACCAGACCGATGGCAATAGCACATATGTTTTGGATTGATTATAATAAGATCAAAGTCCCAGGCATTTAAGGCACTGCTCATTTTGCATATACCCTGGAGATCACTAATAACAATTCCTGCCATTTTAAAAGTGCGTACTATTCAGCAGATGTACAAATCTCATAAAAATCCTGAAAAAGTGGGACACAAAGAACATCACAAATGAGGTGAGAGCTACTAATTTGCAGAGTTGGGGGTTGAATTCCACTCTCTAGTCCTAACTCGTATGCCCTTTTCATTATGCCAGTAGTTCTGTACTCTGCTTATGCATCAGTATCCTCTAGGGAGCTTTAAAAATCTACTTACGTCCATTTTGACCCTCAGAAATTCTGAGTTAACTGGTACTGAGTGAAGACCAGGCATTAGTTTTTCTTGGCTTTTTGTTGTAGTTGTCATTGTCTGTTTTTAAGTTCTCGGGGTGTTTTGCTTACAATTTCAAGTATATGTTAAGTTTCAAATGAAGTCCCATTTCAAATTTATGTAATGTCTGAGAAAGATTTGATAAATGACAAGGTAACTTGTCATATAAAATATGACTTTTTATTTTCACATCATTTGTTTTTTCATATAATAGACTATATTTCAGAGCAGTTTTAGGTTCACAGGAATATTCAGTGGAAGGAAGGTCCAGTCATTTCGCATATACTCCCTTCTGCTGGTCACCCACAGCTTTCCCCATTGTCAGCAGTCTCCACCAGAGTGATGCATTTGTTACTGTATATAAACCTACACTGACACATCATTATTATCCAAAAGTCTACGTGAGGGTTCACTCTTGGTGTTGTACGTTCTATGGGTTTGGACAAATGTGTAATGACTTGTATCCACCATTATGCCATCATAAAGAACGGTTTCACTGCCCTAAAAATCCTCAGAGCTCCTCCTGCGCATCCTTCCCTCCCCCAGCCCCTGGCAACCACTGATCCTCTCACAGTCTCTATAGTTTTGCCTTTTCCAGAATGTCATATAGTTGGAATCATACAGTAGGTAGCCTTTTCAAATTGGCTCTTTCACTTAGTAACGTGAATTTAAGTTCTTTTCATGTCTTTTCATGGCTTGATAGCTCATTCCTTTTTAACACCAATTAATATTCCATTGTCTGGATGNAGGGAGCTTTAAAAATCTACTTAACGTCCATTTTGACCCTCAGAAATTCTGAGTTAACTGGTACTGAGTGAAGACCAGGCATTAGTTTTTCTTGGCTTTTTGTTGTAGTTGTCATTGTCTGTTTTTAAGTTCTCGGGGTGTTTTGCTTACAATTTCAAGTATATGTTAAGTTTCAAATGAAGTCCCATTTCAAATTTATGTAATGTCTGAGAAAGATTTGATAAATGACAAGGTAACTTGTCATATAAAATATGACTTTTTATTTTCACATCATTTGTTTTTTCATATAATAGACTATATTTCAGAGCAGTTTTAGGTTCACAGGAATATTCAGTGGAAGGAAGGTCCAGTCATTTCGCATATACTCCCTTCTGCTGGTCACCCACAGCTTTCCCCATTGTCAGCAGTCTCCACCAGAGTGATGCATTTGTTACTGTATATAAACCTACACTGACACATCATTATTATCCAAAAGTCTACGTGAGGGTTCACTCTTGGTGTTGTACGTTCTATGGGTTTGGACAAATGTGTAATGACTTGTATCCACCATTATGCCATCATAAAGAACGGTTTCACTGCCCTAAAAATCCTCAGAGCTCCTCCTGCGCATCCTTCCCTCCCCCAGCCCCTGGCAACCACTGATCCTCTCACAGTCTCTATAGTTTTGCCTTTTCCAGAATGTCATATAGTTGGAATCATACAGTAGGTAGCCTTTTCAAATTGGCTCTTTCACTTAGTAACGTGAATTTAAGTTCTTTTCATGACCACTGATCCTCTCACAGTCTCTATAGTTTTGCCTTTTCCAGAATGTCATATAGTTGGAATAATACAGTAGGTAGCCTTTTCAAATTGGCTCTTTCACTTAGTAACGTGAATTTAAGTTCTTTTCATGGCTTGATAGCTCATTCCTTTTTAACACCAATTAATATTCCATTGTCTGGATGCACTACGGTGTATTTAATCTATTCACCTGCTGAAGGGCATATTGGTTGCTTCTAAGTTTTGGTAATTATGAGTAAAGCTGATACAAACATCTGTGTGAGGTTTTTGTGGACGTAAGTTTTTAATTCATCTGGATAAACACTGAGGAGTGTGAATGCTAGATCAAATGGTAAGAGTATGTTTAGTTTTATAAGAAACCACAGAACTGTCTTCAAAGTGCATGTATGGTTTTGCATTCCCACCAGCAATGTATGATAGTTCCTGTTGCTCCACGTCCTTGCCAACATTTGGAGTTGTCAGTGTTCTGGATTTTGGCCATTCTAATAGGAATGTAGGGGCATCTCATTGTTGTTTTAATTTGCATTTCCCATATGATAACATATGATGTGGAGCATCTTTTCATATGCTTACTTGCCACCTGTATGTCTTCCTTGGCGAGGTGTTTGTTAAGGTCTTTTGCCAATTTTTAATCAGGTTGTTTATTTCTTTGTTGTTGACTTTTAAGAGTTCTATGTATATTTTGGATACCACCCTTTATCAGAAATGTTTTTGCAAACATTTTCTCCCAGTCTTTGTCTTATCTTCTTGTTCTCTTGATGGTGTCTTTTGCAGAACACAAGGCTTTTCTCCTGTGCTATCTTCTAAAAATTTTATGTTTTTGCACTTTACATGTGGGTCTATGATACAATTTGAGTTAATTTTTGTGAAGTGTGTAAGGTCTGTGTCTAGATTCGTTTTTTTTTTTTTTTTGCATGTGCATGTATAGTTGTTCCAGTACCATTTTTTTTAAAAGTCCCTCCTTTCTCCACTCAGTTGCCTTTGTTCCTTTGTCAAAGACCAGCTGACCATATGTATGTGGGTCTATTGATGGACTCTATTCCGTTCCATTGATCTCTTTGTTCTTTTGCCAATACCACACTGTCTTCTTACATCTATTTTCATGTGGCTAAAACAGAGTATGACAAATCTGACACTTTTTTCCAAAATATACTTAATATGATTTTAATAATTTTGAGGATTAATTAAAAGAACATTTTCTAGTGTTCTAATAAATCAGTCTTGTTGATTGTAAATATTTATAGGGTCGTATTTGACGTTAACAAAAATTCCCTATTCAACATGGATATTTTCACTACCTTTTAAGCCTTTCGGAAATTATTTTGCCTGAAGATAATCCAGCTCTTTGGGGATCACAGATACATTGTTTCAATGGCATTTTATTTTAACCAATGAAGCGTTATCATTAGGTTAATTAACAGATAACTCGCACATGTGCCTATTACTTTCCAGGGTGACAAAGTGACCAAGAACCTCCGTTTGTCACCGTAGTGCTGCATTGTTTCTGAACACATGTGGGGCAGAATGC